GGAGAAACCATGGAGTTACGCTCCAATTCTAGGGTTTTGTTGTGGTCTCAAAAAGTGGAGAACTACCCAGAGAAGCCCCTCAAAAGAGTCTTATAATCTTTGCAACCCCCATATCAGCTACAACTCTTCAGTGATCCTACAGCATTCTGCAGTTTGCCAAAACCGATGTTCAGGTTTCATAAAATTTAGAAGTCAAATTTCAAATCAGATTTTATTTGTTGGAGTTTGGACTTTGGGTTGCAGCTTTCTTGGGAGAGTATACTATTTCCTTTTCCCCTGGAAATCAAACAGGACCAGGGTTTCATTCTTTTCAACTTTTCTGAAAATCTGAACTCTGATGAATTAAATGTTTTATTGGACTTTCAAGCTAGGTAAGCTGCTGTGCTAGCTAAAGAAATAGGATTACGTAGGATTAACCCTTTGGAAACTTAGAACACAAAGTTCATTTAATTAAAATAATCTTCCTAAGCATTCAGTGGCCGAGAGGTTGAAAAAAATGTCAGCTTGAGTTCTGCTGCAATTCTAGAATGAAGTAAAAGATTTTGCCCTATTTTCAGACTCGAATCAACTTGGAGTGGGCCTATCAGCAAGCAAAGCCACAAAAGAATGTTCTCTTACCAAGACAACCTAGTCACAACAGCTTTGCCTCTTTGTCATTTAGTCGTGATTATTTCAAAATCTTTAGATACAGCTCTATCTTTGTCAGGAAACTTCTTTTTCAAAGATTTAGTCTTACTGATTTTTATTTTTAATAATTATTACAAATTCAGTGACCTGAAGCATTCTGGAAGTAGATATGCAAGCACTGGATATGTTTGATTAATGTATTTTGGTCCCTCTTCCCTGCCCTTCCCCCATGAAAATGCTGCTGGCAGTTTTATATACAATTATATAGGCAACTACAAGTGCCTGAAGGGATTCAGGTTGCTGGGTTTGTCCTTTGGTTACTGCATTCCTTCTGCTGTCCAAAATCCCAATATCATTTATGTATTTTGTGAGCAGCTGTGTTGCCATAGCTGGCATGTAGGCCACTCAGCAAATGAATCAGTTCATTTTAGTATCCACCTCTTATCCAGCCTGCATAGAATTGGAAAAAACCCAGTGAAACCAGTGTGACCTACTAAGGTTAACAACCACATTTGGTTTACTTATAGGGTCTAGGATCCTACCTGGGATCTACTTAGGGACTGGTTCCTTTAAGCATGAGACATGCTACTGTCAGATTTTATGATGGCAACCTAGTTTAGAAATTGTGGAGTAAAGAAGTTGCTTTATTTGACTGGTTTTATAGCTGTTGTTCTACAGAAAAACCTATCCCTACATGTTCTCTGCCTGAACAGTTCCCTGCTCTCCTTGGCCATGGGGTGGATTGGAAAAGGAATTTGCTTCAGTGTGAGCAGAGGAACTTGCTGTTCTCTGTTTGCCTTATTTCAGACCAAGGTTGGTGGGACAAGCCACACGGGAGGCAGTTTTGAAGAAGTTCTCAGCTCTACAGCCCATGCCAGTGCTCAGAGCTCCCTTGCTGGCACCCGACTCCCTGAAAGTGAAGAAGAGCTTCAGTGTTAAACAACAGGCCCTCCTGAGCCCCACATGCCTCTCTTCAGAGACTTGCCCATGCAGTGATTTTCAGCTCTCCATCACCACACAACTTGTGCAACAAGGTTTTGTCAGCTTTGAAAAATTGCCATCCTGGCCTTGTGTTGGAGAAATGTTTCCTATGCCTATTTCTATTTTTGATAGGCCATTTTATCACCAGGTACTTTGTACCTCATCAAAACCACATGCAAGTCATTGGCTATAATGCACTAAATACTGTGTTAAGTGACTAAACAGTTTTCAGTTACATGTAACTTCCCTCTAACAACCTCCCAGTCTCAGTTTCTTATTTATTTTGGTTTACTCTTTTCTATCTGTTGGTTTCTGGCTTCCCTCTGAGTGCCACATCAGACAGATGGACCTAGAGCTGTGCAAAGCAATTGTCAGCAGTAGCCCATACACCAGCTGTCTACCATCCATACCAGGTGCCCTTTGCTCAGGATTGTTTGTACATCATCTATTTCCTAACAGAATTAAAATCACTTATGGTCAGAAAAAGCTGTTTCTCCTTCAGTGGTACAGTCTGGCATTGTCCTACACCCATTAGGCAGCAGAGTTAAGGAGGGTAGGAAGAGACACCTGGTTATTCATACAAAAACAACCTATGACAGCTTCCAATCTCAGATGGTCATTTGGCAGGAAAAGTTTCAATTTCAAAATGCTTGCTCTCTTTGTTTTGGTAAGACTTGGCAGTGAAATTAATTTGAAAATCAAGTGGAGTGGAGGGAGCCTCTAATATTTTTGCCTCCATATCTTCCCCTCAAAACCAAGGAACGATATATTTATGAGCCTCTGTCAAGATATAGCCTTAAGTAAAAAACTTAACAAACCCAACATTTGGCTTCAGACGTGCCATAGATTAGAGAGCCCATGCCTTCAGAGCTGCTAGCATAGACCCTGTTACCTGACAATGCACAGGATGAGTAAGACCTTCACTTTTGGTGTCAAATTTTGTGCTTTGCTCCAAGATCTAATTCCACCAACCACATTATCTCTGCTCAGTCACCAAGAGCCAGACATCTCGCAGCTTTGATTCAGCATGTTTTCTGAATTGCATTCTTTTAACATGTTTTCTAAGGAAAGAGCAGCACATTTGTGACACTATCTTGCTGTGTAGTGAGCACGTGTCAGTCCGCATGTTGCGTTGCTCAGCTCACCACACACTCAGGTGGGCACAACGTTATCAGTAAACAGGATGGAAAAAGAGCCTGGCTACTTTGAAAATGGATGCATTTTTTGAGCATACGCCAAAGCTTCAAATCAGTGTTAGTGAGTTTGACATTACAGACTGCTTAAAATTTTGTGAGAAAATGTGGCTTTAAGTGATTTTCGTTTTTTCTTCTGTGGCTTTTGTTAGTTTTTACAAAGTTGAAAGTCCTTTTGTATTGTTCTACTGGATATAAGTTAACATTGGCCATTTATATCACATGCCTCTTTAGTGTGATTTTTAGCATGGAAGCAAATCTAATTGTTTTTCTAGTATTCTTGTGACAATTTTCTAGCTTATTTTACGTGGTTTTGTGCATAAATGTGACTTTATTTAAAATGGAAGGTATTAATTGACAACTTAGTTTGTGTAAATGAAGTTCTTGGTATTCTTATTAAATTTCTCTTACTCTTTTACCCTTTCTGATGTTTTAATTCTGTGTTTACCAGTAGTACTGAGCAACCTAGTGGAAGGTGCCCCTGCCACTGGGAGTTGAAACTAGATGAGCTTTAAGGTCCCTTCCAACTCAAACCACTCTATGATTACTGTGCATAGGGTTCCACACTCTGTTCCCTCGATCAGCAGAATGGGGAAGCCTCCTGCTGTGCTGCAGGAATGGACTGTTGCTGCTTAGGGTAGTATTTGTGCTGGGTTTGTTTCTACCAAACATCTCTTCAAGGCCACTTTTCTGGCCTGTCAAGAATGTTTTCAATTCTGCCCTTCCATGCGTCTGTAACTCTTTCACACTCAGCATTCAATGCAAACTACTGGAGACTATGATTTGCGTGCATCTAGGTGGAATAAGAATGCTGACAAAAGCTCAGTGGGCCCACTCCATCCCCCTCTGCAGTATACAATCTGTTGCCAAGAACCACTAATCAGCTCAGCTAAGTGCAACCTGTTCTTCCAGCATGACTGCTGCCCTGGGGGGCTCCTGAGCAGAGCAGGCATCTCGCATCTCTGAACCAGACCAATATACTGCAGATTTTGTACACTGTGCCAGCCACTGAGGCAAGAAGCTCTCAGCATTTTTGCACAGCACTCTGTGCTCTAGGAAAGGCACTAGTCACAGAATGCTTTGTGAGCTTCAGTCGGGCCCCTGAGGTTTGAATAAAAAAAGCATTTCCTGAGTCATGGTGCCTGAAAACGTGTGTTCAGATACATTACCTACCTTTAAAGGGTATGACAATTTAATTTAGTTTTATGCTGCTTCATTTGACATGAGGCAGAAGACAGAGAACTCGACGTCTCTACCATGTAATTTTTCCAGGTACAAATTTTGCTTAATTGGTAATCATGGCACTGCCCTCATCTCCAGCTGCACACAACTCAGCAGTTGGGTGTGCAGACACTGGCCTTATTATGGCACTCCCCATCACTACAGCTTTACTTCACATTCATTCTGTACTTCTACATTACTGTCTACTTCTGCCAGAAAGTAATTTATGGCAGAACTGGTACCAGCGTGTGACAGCCTGAAGAAGGGAGCCAGCTTTACATGGCTGTACAGGCTTCTGCATTAGATTGCACAAACTTCAAAAGTCCCTCCCAACCTCAGGTATTCTGTGATTATCAATGACCTGTGAAGAAGTCGGTAAAACTGCCAGTCGGGGGTGAGGGGAAGTCAGGAATACAGACCTTACAGAAATACTGGCACCATTCCCTGATACAACACATGAACAGGGAAAAAGCTGTATGAAACAAAGAAGATATTGAGAAAATGTAATTAATGAGATTACCAGTTTTATGCATCATCACTTAAGGCTTATGCAGGCCAAAGAAATCTCATCTCTAAGCTCAGTGAAGAGCTTCTACAGACATATGCTCATTGGTCTCATTTCTGTGCAGCACTGAGTGGATATTAAACCATTTGAAGGTATTTAAATCCATACATATTTAGAATTCACAGAACAAGACGACCTGCCCCACACAGTGCATTACATGAACAGATTAGACTGCAATCAACTAATTTTTAAATGTACCTGAATTTCCCCAGAGGAGAATCTATTTGTAACTGTGACTGCATTAATCAGAGGCTGACTAAAAAGAAGGAAAATTCCAACTCCAAATATACGAATTCTTTGTTCCCTGACACAACCTCTGATCTGAGAGGCAACTACACTACCTGCTCTTCTCTAAAGTGAATGCACAGGAAAAAAATCTGCCAGCAGAATCAGTGATGTTAGAGGAGAAAGAATAATGACCAGAATATAAACCAAGGTATTTATTATGGCTACAGCATTTAAGAACACCTCAGGAATGTGGATGAGATGCAGCAGCTATTCTTTTTTTCCTTTCTGTGTTAATCAGAGATACAAGCTGGAGTATTTCTGGGTGAACAAACTTCCCTGTAAAACAAAAGAAAGGGAAGGTTAATGAAAAATGCTCTCATTTTATCATGTGTGAAAGGCTGGCATTGGAATGATAGCAGGGATGTCACTTTAGGCTCAGAATAAATGACAAATTATTCTTTTAAGAAAGTGAATGCTCCCAGTTCAATCCAATTATGGAGTAAGTGTAGTTACACCCATTCTTCACAAAAAGCTTGAATTTTGTGCTCTATTAAGACACTTAAGAGCTGAAAAAGGGATGCATGCTGACCAAGATAATCTGATGCTACAGGAAACCACTCCAATTACAGGTGCACTTAGGGTATATGCTGTAGGCTCTACTCATATACCAACTCAGTTTAGGTTGTTGAATTCTGGTAGGGGAGCAAAGATGTCAGTTAGAAAATAAAGCATTACAAGCTTTGTTCATGTTGTCTGTTTTTTCCTCCACTAATCAAAGTCTTACAGAGAGATTATTATTTCCCTAGGGAGTCACCAAAGTACAAATGGGACTTGTCAGGGGCTGTTTGGTGACTGCTAGTCCTCTTATCCCTAGAGCTTGTCTATCCCTAGGTTTTTTTTCCCAGGACAGGATGAGTTAGTTACAGTCCTCCTCTGGTGTTCACCTACCGTGCCAAAATGATAAAGATTATTATTTTACCTATCTCTGCTTTCAACTACCACTGTATTTTGCAAGGGATGAAAAACAGTGAGTAGACTAAAAAGCAACACAGTTGCAACTTAATTATTTCACTGAGGTGGTTCTCACAGGAACCTTGGGCTGGTCACTCACTTGGGGATAACAAATTCTACTTCACTGGTTCCTGAAACATTGGTGGAGTACAAACAAGCTGCTGTCAGACCATTGGTGAACACTGAAGACTCCTTTATGAAGAGACTGCTGTTTCAGGGAGATCCTTACACACTGCAGGTGTAATGAAAGCTGAGCCTCTCTCTAAGGTAAAAAGTGATGTAAAAGGAATTTGGCATAAATGAAATTGAGGTTTAATACTGACAGATAAATGTCATGTATGTTCACATTACTTTACGTTTCCCCAGAAATGCTAGGGGACTTGAGCAATGAGTAAGGTAACTAGTTTTCACTTGCTCTGAATGTCTGTCACGAGACAAAAAAAAAAAGGCAATTTATATATTTCATTTATGAAAGGAAAGGAAGGAAAAGAAAGAAGGAAATAAGAAGGAAAAAAAAGCCCAAATGTCATACCAGCAGTTGAATTGAAAAAATCCTGCAGTCTGCCTGGTGTGTTTTCCAACTCTTCATACTCAAATGCTTGCAGTATCATCTCACACTGATCCAACTGCTTTACAAACTTGGCCTCTGCAGTAGACTGGTTTTCATATTCCTGAAAAGATTTGCAGTTATAAGAAAATAATTTTGTTACTCTGAAACAGAACATTAAAATCTCTTTATAGATCTAGAATTTTCTTCATTAGTACAAGCCACTTCAGAAATATTCAGCACAATTACATCTTTCACTTTATTTTTACAAATACACAGTGGTCAGCAAAACACTTGAAACATGCCAATTTTATATTAAATGCAGTGGGACGCAGAATACAATCTTTTGATTAATTAACTCTAAATATACCAATTGTTTTGGCTGAATCAGGGATGAATGGAAGCAATTCTGCATGACATGTAAGTTAAAAAATAGGTTCGATTTAACAGTATTTTATAAAGATCATTTCAGGCCTGGTTAAGGCAATGAATTACGACAGTGTGTACCTATGCACTGTCACCATCTATTTTTAAAACCTATTTTGCACTTTTCTCACCACTTGCTGTTTCTATATGGAGTTGCTCTTTATATTTCTCCTGTCATTCCTGCCTAATCTTTTTTGTCTAATCTGTCTGAGCTGCTTATATCTCTCCTAGCAGATAGGAAGGGGAGTGGTTAAGGGGTTTCCTCCCCTTCAGAATTTAAGTCCTTTAATCTCTCTGCTATCTTTCCCTCTCCTACAGTCATCATCAGTATACGAGTGATTCACATTTCTAGTCAACTTGAACAATTTTGCTGTCATTTACTTCCAATGATGGCTGCAGACAGGTTTTGGCATTGCACTTTCTCTTCTCCAAATCTACTGCACTGTATGTGATGTCTCATAAGCAGGTCTTCCTGACTCTCCTGACTTCCAAAATCAACCCCATAAAAAGGAGTTTTCCTTCTGCGCAGGTTACCATCACCCTGATAGCAGTGGCAGGACTGACCCTATTCATCATCCCCACCACCACTAATCACACCAAAGTACACACTGGGCCCATCTGTGCTCCCAGATCCACAGAACCTGTGGATCATATCACTTCCATAGAGAAGAGCAGCACGAGTGCAAGAAGTTCTGACCGCAGAACCTGGCATTCCTTTCGGCATCTTAAGACAACTGTGCTGTGTCATTCACAGTAGCAAGATCCTGGCTTTGTAATTCCAGCACGGTGATGCTCAGGGGTAAGCGTGACAGTAATTTCCTTGTCTTGCATACCATTAGGAGCCTGTTCTTAGGCTTATTACTTCACCTTTGAAGTCAGAAATCCAGATTTTGATAGCCATGATTGATTGGTAATCTATTTGGATTTCAACAGTCCTTTGAATTTCCAGTTACATCTTCATCGTTATTTTAGTAATAAATTTCATTTCAGTGTTTTTATCTTGTTTTTCTCTTTTCAACTGGAGCTTTGCCTCATTTTAGAATTGTTTAAGTACTACTTATTTTCTTAAATCTATTTATTTCTACTCTATTATTTTATAATCTATTTTGTGGGGGAGAGGGTCCCTCAAAGACAACAAACTCTTGGCAGCATCACAAAGGAGAACTTCAGGAAAAGGAGAAGCAGGGCTGTTCAGCTCTAAACGTTGGTCCCACCTCCAACAATTAGGTGGGAGTATCAATTATCCACACCTCAGCTCACACTGCCCTCAAGAAACATCAGCTATTACATTGCAACTGTGCACAGTGCTGAAACAAACACTGTTTCCTCTCCATAGGTGGTTAAGACTCTGAAATAACAGTGTACTTTGGAAAAACAGTAACTGGTCTCTCCAACACCACAGGCCATCTTCTAAAAATCATTCCCATGCTTTTGCACTTGAGACTAAAAAGCAGGACAGAGCTGAAATGGGCTGACTCATTTACTTGACTTTTTTCAAACATATTTGGGATTAAGTTATAAAGTGAAAATATATCTGAGGCATCTTTCTGCTGCCTCTCTCCTCTACACTACACTCACCAAATACCCACCAACACCATCCAAACCAGCAGTCCTTGTAAAGCTGAAAAGCAAAGAGAGACAGAGACGAGGGCAGGGCAGTGCAGGAAGGAGTTGCTAATAGTGTCAAGAGATCTTGCCCTGCTCAGCACTGATCGATAACCACCTTCACTCACAAAAAAAAAAATCATAGGGAAATGTCCTTGGCTAGCTGAGAGCAGAGCAGCACACCAAGTTATCAGAGGCTTCTTATTTTCTCTCTTTTATTTTTTTCTTCTTAAGGAGCAACTAGCTGTTCCACTTAACACTAAAGGCACTACATGTTAATAGTATATTTTTAGGGTACTCTCTCTGCCATGTAGGTTGCACTCATGCTAATGAATTGCAGGCACAGTGCAAATAAATAATCCTGAAGGTAGAAACAAAGAACAAATTATCAAAAGTGTGCACATATTAAATTAGTAAATAAGAATGATGAAAAGCTAACACACTGAAGAACTGACTCCACACTGAACCAGCTCTTACAGTGTCAGAGGAGAAGATTGAGACCAGCAAAGAAAAATCCCAATTATACAAACTAACCTTATCTATCAAAACCTCATTTTCCTCAATTATAACAGCTTCTCAAGAGAGAAGGGACCAGTGCTCCCTAAAAAAATACACACATGTTATTTCCCATATCTGATGATGTTGGTTTACCTCCTTTAATTTAAAATACAGCTCTGAGAGCCCATTCCCACTGCCTGTTCAACCACACAACCACAACAGGGAAAAAAAAAACAAAATAACCCTAAACCTAAAACAAAATCACAAGCAGGGTGCTGTAGCTAAAGGCAGAAACTGGATGTAAATATCTGGAATTTAAATACACTCTAAGTAGAAAAGAGTATGAATGTAGGATACCGACTCAGGTCACAGAGTCCAAGAAACATAGAATACATTGTTTGAATGAGAAGTTCTGGATACAATTCCCCTCACGCAACCCTATGTCAGGAGGAGATAAAGCATAGTAATTGTGAACTTGAATTGTTTGGAAATAATCTAATCGTCCCTCATTTGCAAGTATAAAAGATCTTACCAATTAACAGCATGGGTTCACATGAAAATGGTTAAATCACCTTCAAAAACAAGATACTTTCTAATACAAACTTTTAAGGAACCCAAGACCAGAAATCTCCAATGTTTGTAGAAAAGCATGGGTTTTTGTCACATTTAAGTTTAAACTTTAGTTTACTTAATCATTTTAAGTTACTACTAAGTATCTTGGTCTAATGGACTTTCTTAGAAAGAAATGAAAAACCACAGAAATTTCTTGCATAAAAAGCAGAAGATAATCCACAGCACCATCACCTACTATTATTTTTTTTCCAGTATTAAAAGCTGCATATGGCCAGATATGAACAAAAGTGATAGTGTAATAAAAAATCAGATTTATATCCAGAGGGCTGGACGTAGATGACAAACTCTTCCTTCAGCTGTACAAACCAAGCCCTGGACAGGTTCATCTGGAACTCTGAGAGGCTAGGGGCAGAAGATGGTTACTTTACCAAAGTCCAAGGTTTCTGTTTGAAAAGGACCCTAAAGTTACCTTGACACATACTGTTAAGCTTTATCTTCTACTCAAATAAATCTCACTTTCTTGAGGTCAAATAAGAGGCAGCACAATTTCACAGGTACATGGGAAGAAGGGAATGGATCACCCTAAATTTTGACATAGAATTAAAATAATGCAAACTTACTTCCCAGAGTTCATAGATTTCTTTTCTGAGGTCCTCTGATAGAAGCTGGGTCAGTTGTTGCATAGCTGCCTGAAAAAAAAGAACCCATTTCCATTTATCTATTTTCTGAGCAACACTTTTATCATTATCTTTTCTGAATAATTATCTATTTGCTACCAAGCTAGCAGCAACATCCACTACACATCACATTACTGTATTGTTTTGGCATGGCAAGGTTTGGCTACAGCTCTAGCCAAGCCAAGGTGGTAGCACCTCTGGGATAACATATGTAAGGGGAGGGGAAATCCCTGTGCAACTCCATCCAGAGGGAGGAGTGAGAAACGAGAGGAAAAACTCCGCAGATACCACGGTTAGTGAAGAAGGAGGAGGTGCTTCAGATGCCAGAGCAGAGGTTCCCCTGCAGGCTGTGAGGAAGATCATGGTGGGGCAGCTGTGCCCTTGCAGCCCTACAGAGGAGCAGGGATCCACCTGCCGCCCCTGGAGGTCCATGGTGAAGCAGATATCCACCTGGGGTCCATGGAGGATTTGAAGCAGGGGGATACTCAGAGGAGGCTGCGACCCTGTAGGAAGCCTGAGCTGGAGCAGGCTCCTGGCAGAACTTGTGACTCCAGAAATTGTTCTGCACGCTCTTTGTGTTCTCCCAGCTGATCAGTCTCACTTCTCTGCCATCCCTACTGTTTGCCAAGTAACATGAAGGGCTGCTTCTGAAACAACCAATATCACAGGCAAGACAAAGGCTGCATGCCGTGATTGTTTCTCCACTTCAATTCCAGGATATAGTGTCACAATATGGTTCCCTATTGCTTGCCACCACTGAAGCATCAAGGTCTCATTCCTTCTCACCTCCTTCCAATTCTGGAATTCATCAGATTTCAAGGTTAGGTGAACTCCAAACAACATCCTCCCTCCTCCAAAAAACCCCAAAACTTCTTTTTTTAATCAGGTTCATTTTCCGCTGCCTTCGTGTTGGTGAGACTCACTGGTTAAAGTTACTGCACAAGCAGCAAACTTCGGAGACAGCTCAAAGTCGGCTGTAGAGCAAACAGAAAAAAGGAGAACTCTGCAGTGGAAGCAAGAGTATTGATAACTCACCTCAAGCCACCTCCTGAAGTGGCTACCCACGGTCTATTTTTACAACAAAGGATTTCAGAGTCATCCCAAATGTTTAATGCTTTACTCTCCTTCCCACAAAGTCAAAAGAAAGTCCTCACTGAAATGGGAGCAGAAGGAACTACAAATACTTAAGAAAACTTCTTAAACATATCTAGGCATCAAAATCTCTTTTCCCTTGCCAAAATTCAAATGAGAATTCTCTCTAGACCAAAGTTGAAGGCTGATCCTCAGTGACACAACAACCCTTAAAGGCTTCCAGGAAAGAGGTTTCTTCTGTTCAGTGATTTGAAGCTCTTTGAAGAGTGTAACAAACACTTCAGTGATTGTTCTCCTCGCTTTTATGCTTATCTAGTTAAAACTAGGGGCTGAGGGGCCATGACTAACTCTAGGAGTAAGCTCTTTGCTAGAAAAGTGGAAATTAAAGATCTAAGGTGCATTTGGCACTCTTGAAGTACTATCTTTACTGACTAATTTTGGTGTTTCTTTTTTTCAATATACTTCCTAGTGCGTTCTTACAATGAACAAAAAAAAACCTCTGCAGAGTTTCTAAGGCATGGCATTGCCCTCTAGCTGTGGCTACAGAAATGGTTTACATTTTTTTCAAATAATGCCACAAACCAAAAACAACAAACCAACAGTTTGGATAAGTGCAAGGCCAAAAATAAAGTGACTCTAGGCATGCTGCACTCAAAGAATCACAACAACAACAAAAAAGACACCTGCATCTGAGGTCTTGTGCAAAAGGTTTAAATGAAGTCTCTGTCAACCTCATGATCTGGCACCACACACGCGATCTGACATGAACTGTCATCCATCCTACTCTGTGCACCTACTCCCTGCTCCTCACCTCTTGGTAAAGCTGCTGAATATGACTAAATCAGGATACCAAAACTGCAGCTAGTTCAGGAATAAATGGCCATGGTGAAGATTACTTCAAAGATTCTCCCATAACTTTGTACCTGGTGACGTTACAGGTACAAAGTTTTAACAATGAGGTGAAAACTCTTACTTGGTTGTGGCAGTCCAATGCCAATGACAGTATCATATTGCTTGGAATGTTCCTACACCACCACCAGAACATGAAAACACACAGAATGCTCTGCAGCTTATGTTCATACCTTTTCTCTCCTGTGTTTCTCCTCTTTTGGGATATTATCTGCAGGAGCAATATCTCCAACAATGCATTCAGCCATATCATGAACCAAAGCTAATCGTATGCACCTGACAAGAAGGAAGGACAGAATAATTAGTTTTTCAGCATTTTAAGTTGAAAACTTCTCCAAAAGGCTAAGAGACCGCAGAATTTATTCCCCTTCTTATACTCTAAAGATTGGTTGGAGCTTTTCTTAAACTTTATGTAACATTTTCCACTTTTTTTTATTTTCCACCTAGACACAATTTTGATTTCTAACTTCTAGTCCCTACTGCTTGTAAATGTGGATTTAAGTATAAATACACTGTGTACTGGAGTATAATATTCAAAAGTAATGTACTTAGCTTTTGGAGATGTTGTGGTAATTAACTACATTATACACTTCACATTATTCCTGCAACAGGTAGAAGGTAATCTATTTGGAGCAATCCCAAATTCAGTATATAATCTGTCACTCACAGTTCTGTAGCTATGCCAGTCTGCAGCAGAATACTCAAAAAAGCCTTCATATCAGCTCCTATGGCTTTCTCTGCTATGCTGGAGGATTTCTGTGGCTCCTTACTGCTGCCGAGTGGTCCTTCAGTCTGTCAAAATCCACATAGTCTATGGCTCTGACACGGCTGTCTGTTGCTTCACATTGTTTTTTAACCAGGGTCTTCAGCCTGTTTATTTACTGCTTAAAAGAAGACCAGCTTTAAGCCTCTGCACTAAGGACTTGCCTCAATGCTCACAGTTAAGCAATAAAGTTTTTAGCCCCTTTCAATTGTCCAGATAAACAGGACCGTGTCCAAAGGATAGAGGGAAAAGGATTTCAAATTCCTTCAGTGTGCTTTAAAAGCTCTTACTCCGGACGGACGACAGCTTCTTTTAGCATTTAGTTTGCAGCTCTCCCACAACATAAACATACGGTCGTGATAAGCAGAGGCAGTCTCACCTGTCCTTGTTAAGGCTTTTGTCTTCAGTCACCAAAGCCATCATCGCCATCCTGTACATATGGTCGGAGACGCTCTCGGGGTTTGCCACGTTCCTGTACACCCATCCTGTCCGCGGTACTCTCTGCGCCCGTGCCACAGAATCACAGAATCAGTCAGGTTGGAAAAGACCGCAGAGATCATCGAGTCCAACCTCTGGGCGGATACCACCGTATCCACCAGACCACGGCACTGCAAAGGTTAAACCCCTCGGTTTTGCAGGCCCTCGTTTCAGAGACACCGGCAGAAATTCCCCCCCACAATGGCCTCCACGCTCCGGAGGGTTCTGCTCTCCCAGCGAACACCTGCTCCAAGGCCCAAGGCTGTACCCGGCCAGGAGCACGGCCCGGCCGCAGCAGCCGCCATCGCGCCACAAGGGCCGGGACACGGCGGCACCGCGAGTCCCACCCAGGCCCGCTGCGCTGGGACAGCGCGGCTCACCCCGGCCTCCACCAGCCCGGGCACTGCCGGGGAGCCCGGCCCCGGGGAGCCCGGCCCCAGCCCCCACGGCCCCGGGAAACCCGGCCCCGGGAAACCCGGCCCCAGGCCCCACGGCCCCGCCGCCAGCCCGGCCCGTGCCCACCTTGAGCTGCCCCAGCAGCCGCAGGAAGGGCAGCAGCCCAGCACCACCGCCCGCCGCCATCGGCCGCCGGCAGCACGGCCTGGCCGCAGCTCCTCCTCCTCCTCCTCCTCCTCCTCCTCTTGCTGCTGCTGCCGCTGCTGCCGGGGCGGGAGGCGGCGGTGCCCGCCCTGTGCCCCGCAGGTGTGAGGGGAAAGGTGTCAGTGCGGGGCGGAACCGCGTCCCCAAAGCTCTGGCTCCTCGGGGCTCATTAAGCACAAAAGGGAACGACACGGGCTGCGGCTGCAACGAGAAGAGCAGCCGAAGAAGCCGAGCGGCTCGCGGGCATGGGCGCTGTGCCGTGCGGAAGAGAAGGAGTGTCCTCTCCCCTCTTCCGCTGGGGTCCAGCTGGGAGGAGGGAAAGGCAGCCTCGGAGGCGGGAGTAGCTCGTGCTTCTGTCAAAACTGAGCATCTCGGTGACCTTTACCATGCCACAAAAAAAAAAAAAAAAAAAAAAAAAAAAAAAAAAAAAAAAAAAAAAAAAAAAAAAAAAAAAAAAAAAAAAATTAGTGCAAACTCATGATATTGTTCAGAGAACAGCAGATAGTTATCAGGGTTGCTGATGAGTTTTTAATTATTCTGTGGACTCCCGGCTTCTTGCTATGAGCACATCCGTCACTTTCATGAGTTGAATAAATAATACGGTGACTTACCTGACAATTGACGGATTTCCAAAATACATTGCATTTCTTTGCTACTTTTATACTGCCAACTAAAATAGCGGATAATGGTTTAAATGTAGTGATGAAATAGTCTGTTTCAGGAAAAAAACATCTGCAGTTTCGCCAGCTACCAACAGATAGCAGAGTATTTTTATTTTTGTTTGTGCAAATATTTAAACTCCTAAATTTATAATGAAGCCCAGAAAACATTTTTAGTGACCATTTTAAGGCTGTCTTCCCACAATAAACAAGAATCCTAGACCAGGAAAGTCATCACCTTTACACCTGTGTACACACATAGGTGTGTTGAGTGTTGTAGTACAGCTTTCCTGGTTAAAGTGAATCACAGCTGTTGCAGATTTCTCTTGATAGCTCTTGTAATCATCCAAAATAAAAATTTTATACTTTGTCTAGGCTGTCCGCCTTCCAGGTGAATAGTTTGTTTCATAAGGTCCTCTTTGTGCCGATACTTTCCCATTGCATTACATGCCACTCCCAAGGGAAGTTTAGCTCCGTTGTATTTGTAATCCCCCCTCAGGCAGTGGCAGGCTGCTGTATGGGCCCTTGGGCTCTTCAAGAGGCAAGGCAGGCCCAGGGTACCTCAACACCTCCTTCAAGGTGATGGGATCTCGATCCCAGCTGTCTTGGTAGCCTTCACTGGAGGTGCCCTGTCTTGATCGAGAAAGCACCAAAGTGGGCCCTGTGTCCAGCCAGTGCCTCACCAACACCAAGCAAAGGGGGACAGCAACTTTCCTCAGGATGCTGGCTGTGCTTCTGACATAGACTATTGTGTGATTTTTCCCTCTTTGGGATGAGAGTGTGCTATGAGCTTGTGTTGGACTTGGCTTTCACATAATCCCAGGTCCTTCCTGGCAAAGCCGCTAGTCAGCCTGTTTCTTCTCAGCTGGTACCAATAGAAGGGCTTTATTCGGCCTTAGGTCCAGAACTGAGCATTTATTGTGTTTCTTGGTGTTAAACATGTTGAAATTTCTGCCAGCCCAGAAACTACCTCACGATTTAAAGTCCCTCACCATTTAAGCTCTACCGTTTAGTGTGTCAGCATCCCTCCTAACTTAGCATTACCTGAAAATAGCCCAAGAGTGCATCCTGTCCCATGCCCAGGCTTTTAATAAGACAATGGTCTGTATGGAGCCTTGTATCAGCCCCTCGAGTACTCGACCTGTTTTGAGCCTTCAGGCACATTGCCAAGCCACCAGTGCCACCCACTGAGCCTGTCAGCCTAGGCAGTTTTCAATGCATCTATTTGACAGCTTGTTCATGCCACAGTTCCTCAGTTTGTGAGTGGAAGTGTGCAGGAAATCATTTCAACCACTGTAATGAAGTCAAGATCGGTTGTGTCCACTGCTCTATCTTTATCCATGATAGTGAACCATTTCATTAGAGGATGCAGTCAGGTTGGCCAAATGGGATTTTTTCTTCATAAATTAATGTCAACTGTTACTGACAGCCTTCTTGTCTTTCACAGGTCTCTTTCTAATAGAGCTTCATCAATATTCTTTCTGTATCTTACAGCCTCTTTCTGGTTTCCTGCATGGTTGAGAAAAAAGCCTTCAGAATGTAAGTAATATAAAAGTAATAAGAACATGAAAGTAATACAAAGTAATTAAATAATTTGCATTTTCAATAAGTTGCTGTATCTAGTTTAGAAATTCTATTCTTAAGGCTAGATGATAGCAGATACGTTGTCTTTTAATCCTTCCTATCTATTCAATGTACATGTTTAGTATTTATAGCACTTTAAATCCAGTAATCAATTTGCTCTGGAAAATTCATTAATAATTTTTTAATATGGGGTAAGTCTTATACATCCCACTTGTATGGAGAAGGTATGATTTTCAATTTTATTGTCTGATAAATTCTTTGCCACTTATGTTCTTAAGATATGTTTTTAGAATGAACACTTGAGTGATAATCACGAGGCTGGACTCACAGGCACTGGCCTCAGTGTAACTTCTCTAATATTTCTCAATTTTTTAACATTTATATGTATGTAATTCGTCTACATGCACTTTGTGTGCTGTTTTTGCATATTCCTTATTGACACTGGTTTTCCACCCAATCGTCCTTCGACAGTACTTAGAGGTATCATTTATGTGCTTTTCCAAGTATCAAATGCATCATGTGTAGTGTTAAATGCATGGACTCTCAGTAGGCTGGAGTACCCCAACATAGTACAAATATTAGCTGTGTCAGGATTTTATTATTGATTAAGTAGCCTGAAAACAGAAACAAATCAGTCCCATACAATTTTAAGCAGCTTTTTAATGTAATTCAGAAACTTCAGCAAGGATTAGCAAAGTCTCCCTACAGGATATTAAGGTAGTGCTAAGGCTTAAGTCTCAATCTTTCATCAGTCTCATTTGGCTTTTTTCTCCATCTTTTGCCAGAACAGATGGCAATTCCAAAAAAAGAAATTCCAAATAACCTGGTTACCGCAGAGTAATTATGATTTATAAGCTGGAGATGGCGCTCTCTGCCCACAGATTTCTACTTCAAACGCATTTGCTGCTACCCTATGCCAGACTGAAATTGTACTTCCATTTCTTTAAGAAATAGTGCTGGGGGAGAGGGGTTGCTTTGCACACTTGGTGCAGTAATGTGAAATCATCTCCCCAGACCCTCCTAAAGGTGGATCGTAACCAGTTTGTGCTTTATATAACGTAGCACCAATGATAACAGATAGGGTTTTGAAAACCCTTATGTGTTCTGCCAGCATGGGCATAGTAAACCTTGTATTGGCAAAATGTCTTCAGGAAAAGTAATTAATTGACGGGGTTCATTTGTTAGCATTTGTCAGGAAAAGAAAAAAAGAAAAGATAATGTTGTGTAGTTCAGTGGACAGGGTAAAATGGTTGTGTATCACAGACCCATCAGGAAGCAATAAGAGCCTTGACGCCCTCCATAAAACCAAAAGCTGGATGAGCACCTGCTAGACACTATAAATGATCATTTTAGTTCTCCAGACTGTAATATCTTCCTTTGTCTGAGGCAATCTTAGCAACTATATAGTTGCTAGTGAAAATCTATTACAATCTATTACATGTGTGCCATGTGGCTCCTGCTGCTCTGCCATGCACCTGCCAATGCTGGATTGTGTGTCCTCGTGCCCAGGGTGCCCCACTCTCCCTGCTGTGTGGGCTGTCAAAGCTGGTGAGAAGCACCTGAGAGAGGCACCGTGCACTGATACCTGTGCCAAGGGCTGGACATCTTCTGCTGAGACTTCATAGAATCACAGAATGGTTTGGGTTGGAAAATACCTTAAAGATCGTCTAGTTCCACCCCATTGCCATAGGTGGGGACACCTTCCGTTAGCCCAGTTTACTCAAAGCCCCATCCAACCTGGCATGGTTTTTTCCTAATAAGCATTTTTTCCTAATATCTAATCTAAATTTAGTCTCTTTCAGTTTAAAGCCATTCAGTCTTATCTTGTCACTACATGCCCTTGTAAAACATCCCTCTCCATATCAGAAGGCTGAGGAGAACATACACTTATGGTAGCATTCCAGTAGTCAGCAATAACTTTCCAGAGTGTCCCTGTTCAGTGTAGCTAACTGATGGCATCACTGCCACAAAGAAAAATGTTCTTCTTACTGCTGTTGCATAACTTCTTGGGCTTTTTGTCATTAACAAGAGATTTTCTATCAGAACCCTTATGATTAGCCTATCTAAACCTTAAAATGAAGAAAAAGTTGTTTTACCTTATATATGTAACAGATCTGCAGAGCCAAGAGTAGAACTTTAGAATAGCACTTTTGGGGAAGAAAAAGTCAATTTAAGAGCAAATCAATCTTACATGAGCAGAACATTTCTAATGTAAAAAGGCATCTGAATTAGAGGATTAGGTCACACTGCCTGATTAACATCATTTGATCTTTTGCTATTGAAAAGCCACTGGTCTTCTCAGAGAATGGAAGCATTCAAACTTTAAATGACACCACAAGCCTGGCTTAGAAAAAAACCTGCTAAACTGAAAACAACTTGCCTTGCTTCAGTAATTGTTAGTTTGTCTCTGCTGTGGGGGGATGCATCCAAATCAGGATTTAGAAAACCCTCACACTGCTATAACAAAGAAGGACAGCCAAACTGAATGAGGGCATCTTGGGTACTATGTGGGAGAGACTTACAGCATGTGAATCTTGCCATATCATATTTATTTCTTCTTTAAAGGTGATAGACAGATACTCAAATATCTGTTTGATGTTTGTTTTCTTTATTATACATTCATTCTCTGTTGGCTTTGCCATTTTAGTTTTGCAGGGGTAGGAGGTAACCAAAAAAAAGAAGCTCACCTTGGACCACAGAGTCCACTCAGAATCTAAGAGGTACCTGCTGATGACATTTGATAAGAGAGCAAGAGAGGGATACAATTTTTAGAGAGCGATACAGTTTTTATT